TCCTTAAGGGAGCTTATTGCAAGCGCTTAGGGTGACTTAAGGTGGAGCAGAGGAGAGAAAAAGGCAAAAAGCAAGTAAAGGTGTGACTTCTAAGGCATCTAGGCAAGAGCAGCACATGACTTTTCTGTCTTCCATAATGTGTCTTATTTCATTTGCTTGGATCCAAAAAAAGGCTAATCATGGAACTTTAATCGAGTACAAAAATCATAGGTTGGACTCAGACATGGGGTCACCATCCCTGAGGACAGGAAAGAGACAGGACTCATTCACCCCAGTGGTAAATAGAGAGTGGACAGGACTGGACGGGCCTAGAGGTGCAGGGGCAAGCAGCACGTGCGCCTGCCCTGAGCTGAATAAAGGAGGGCGCCCGACCATCCCTGCTTGCCTGGGACTGAGGGCTGGTGATTACAAGGAGGCAGGAGCGTCAGTGCTGAGACCTGGAGGGTCCTAAGCAAACCAGGACAATTTGGTGACAGTAGAGTGAAGCCCGAGCTGCGTGCGGCTGCCTCCACACGCTGCCCCCTCCGTGTGTAGGTTGGCATCCAGCTGCTTCCTGGGGAGCGGTAGAAACTCTGCCACATACTCGAGCAGTTACATAACCTCTCCTGGCCTTAGTTTGCTTGTATGTAAAATGGGTTAATAGTGGCCACCACATTGGGCTTTGCAGTGTTCAAGTGAGAAGATGCGAACGTGCCCGGGGCGGCATCTGGCCCAGAGTAATCACTTAAATGTGAACAGCCTTATTTATTACTCATTCATGCAGCTCATTCAACAAATTTGTGTGCGTACTGTGTCAGGCGCTGCTCTAGACCTTTTGGAGGGGGATGGACAAATGGAGGATAAATACATCACATAATATACTGGGGGGAAGACCCCTAGAGGGAAACGATGGAGCAGGAGAAGGGGGCGCAAAAGTACCAGGGCAGAGACGTCCGCGTTCAACACGATGGTCAGGGTCTTCACTGAGATGGTGGCATTGGTGCAAGGTCGTGAGGGAGGTGAGGGAATGAGCCCTACCTGGTGAAGAGGAACCCGAGAAAGGAAACAACTGGGCAGGGGTCAGCAAAGAGAAGTGTGTCTCATGCATTCGGAGGAAGGCAGGAAGGCGAGCTTGGCGGGATCTCAGTGAACAAGCCAACGCAGCAGGAGGTGAGTAAGGGGTGGGGGCTGGAGACTTCAGGGCCATCATAAGGTCTTTAGTGCCCAGTTTCACTCCAAGTGGAAGCCACCAGAGACTCTGAGTGAGTGAGTGTCATGAGTTGGGCTTGGAAGAGATCATTCTGGCTACTATGTTGAGAAGAGACTGAGGACAGGAAGGCAAGGGTGGAAGAAACTCCCCCGTCAGACAGTGGCCGTAACCGGGAGAGAGATGGCCCGGCTTGGACCAGGACGGGAGCCGTGGGAAAGGGGAAGTGAGTGGACTCTGGGCATGTTTTGCAGGTGAAGCTCATCTGACTAAATGTACCAGTAAGTGGATGAGAGAGAGAGGGTCCAGGCTGATTACAGGGCACTAACACGAGAGCAGAGGGGCAGGGCTACCCCAGCTTCTAGCTTTGGCCTTCGTTAGGCCGTTGGGATGTCCTTACAACGATCTCTAAATCTGATGTCTTGGTTTGCCCTTACAGTCAGCCACTCGCCCTTGTCAAGGAGGGAACAGCATCTCTTCCCTTTACATTGTGAGTCCCGCTTCTCTGAGAAGCATCCCAGGGAGATTCACAGATGATGAGAACTCCTGCTTGCCTCGAGCGAGCCTGGCCTCCAGCCCCGCAGCTCCAAGTTGGCACAGACTTGCTCTCGGGTCCCTGGAGGAGAGAGCCAGCAAGGCCCTGCCCTCTGGCAGCTCTGCCTCTCCCTGCCTGGGGACCAAGTGCGCTGCCCAGAAGCGCTCCTTTCCCAGGCCCCGGTTTTTCTTTCCTGCTGAGAATGGACTTCGCAAAGTGGTGGAGGCAGGGAGCCTCTGGGAAGCAGCCCAGCTGCTTCTAGTGCCTTGGCCGAACCCGCTCCCCTGCGGGGCTCTGCTGTGCCACTCCGCTGGAGGCCGGGGTTGGGGGGTGCTTAGGGGAACCAGGAGGCCGGAGGCCTGGGACAAGACCATCAGGCACCACTTTTCAGAACAGCTCCCTGCTTCCTTCTCCTGGGCACTAGCGAGAGAAAGTGGTCCCCAGTCCCCGTGTCCACAGTCGTGGATGCCAGTTCACACCCCCGCTTTACCCCCAGGCAGGATCCCCGGGTGGACCTGGGGTACCTCTCCTGGTGGTTTCCCTCTTGGGTGGAGAAGCGGAGGCCGTCTCAGAGCCTGCAAACAAGACTCCCTTGGTACCTATCTTCCCGTTTTCAAAATCTTTTTCCATCTGAATGACTTCCTTAGTTCTAGCCCAAATCTCTCTCCTTGCCATTTAAGGTAACACTCTTGGGTCCTATTCAGTGGAGATGCCCTCATCCCCGCCATCGGAGCAGCCCTTCACGTAGACTGAAGCTCCCTCCGTGTGAAGCCACAGGGAGTGTCCCCATCCTGAGTCTAATGCTCCTCAGCTGCTGGTCTTTTTTCCAAGACAAAGTTTGCCTCCCCCTGCCGGTGGAAGCCCATCAGATCGTGTGGCCAACAGCTCCCAGGGCCAAAACCAAGGTTAATTTGCTGCTGTGTGTGAACAACTTGATAAGTGCCACCCGGCATTAATTGAACTTACAGGATTTCTCCCCGTCCCTTAAAGTGCAACCCCCTTGGGGCCCGTTAGAGGGGCCTGAATGTAAGGAAGGCACTGGGCCTAATTCTGCCTAGCTCTGTTTCTCTCTGGGCCGCGCCTAGAAGATGTGGGTGTCGCCATGCATGCGCGTTAGGGGCGCTGATAATCAAGGACTGTGTACTCTAACTTCCTGGCTTCGTCTTTCTTCTCTTCTTATTCAAGCTGAATACTAGTACTTAATACTGGTGCTTCCTTAGTACTCAGTCTAAGTAGTGCTTCTTAGCGCCTAGCACATCTGCAAGTGCTGTTGACTGAGATAAACGCACAGCCTGAAAGTTGTGGGTTATGTTTTATTTGGGGACGTTTCTGAGGACTCGAACCCCTTCCAGCCCAGGATGACAGCCTCTCAGGTCGCTCTGAGGCACTGCTCCGAAGAGGTAGGGGGGAGCTAGGATATACAGGGGCTTTACAGCAAAGGCCAGGTAGTTGGAACAATGAAAGATCACCTGTTATCTAAAGAAAACCAGGCATCTCAAGTTAAAGAATTTAGCGCTTTTCTATGTATGGGAGGAAGCAAACATTTGGCTCATTGAATTCATTCCTTTGGCTATCTAGGGCCAGTGTCCTGTCCTGTCCTTACTCTGAGCCCCCTCAGGGTGCACCATTATGAGTGGCTGCAGAGGCAGGGCTGCAGGCCTGTCCTCACTAGGGGGTGGCGGCAGCCGCTGATGACTCACTGGCTTCAGCGTTCTTTGTTTACTGATGTGGTTTGCAGTA